ACTTTCAGTAAAGGCTTATTTTTTAAGGCACACTGTAAAAACACAATTACCAAAAATTCAGAACACACACATGCAAACTATTGTATGGAATCTCTAAATAACACACAAACCATTTTTTTGCAAAATATGTGTTATAATGGAGTCAGAAGTAAAGAAATACAGCAGAATCATTTAATTCAAATGCAGTGTCAGTCATTGCCCTGCTATATATGGAGAAAATACGCCATCTATTGGAAAACGGTAAAAACTAACCATCGAATGAATGAATGAATGGTCTGAGAACACAGACAAAATAATATTTTTTAAAAATTATGCTAATATTTATGCTTATCATAAAAATATGATTTACATGGAAGTCAATGGCGCAAAAAAAAGCAGAAAGATGCTTAACGCTACTAAAAAATTATGCGTTATAGTAAAGGAAGTTGAAGATTTTTTCTAACTATTTTTAGTAATTCCTTCAAAAATACACATCCTCCCCAAAAATAGATCAATTGCATTAACATAGCCAAAGTTATACACAAAAATACATGAGTCAGCACAAACAAATGCTTTAATGTTGGGTAAGGGTTAAATCATTTTCTTGAACCAGTTTGAGCTAAAATGACCCTTTACTGGGTGAATGACCCACACCGCCTTGTGTGGCCAGAATAGGGCTTGGGATTATGTTGTCATCAGTGACGCAGCTGCCATGTTGGCGACTTTCAAGTCCTTAACTGTTACTCCAGACACCAGCATGCTCACTGTCAGTCTTGCAACTTCATTTATTCTATTATTCATTGGATCGGTTATATTACGCAACCACGGTAAATTGTTGCTGTGTTGTGGGGCGTAACGTGATCCCCAGGGAAAAAGGTGGAAAACAAGCTAACTTTTCACGGAGACCAAGTATCTATAACAGAGTCTCGTCGGCCCGCTTGGATCACAACTGTAAAGCAACCAAACATCACCTTCTGGAGTATTTTCATTTTTTTAAGTTACAGATGGTGTATGTTTTTTACTCATCGTGTCTTTCCTTCAACAGCAACATGCACACACAACACACACACACACTGGTAGGCTAATGACGGCGCACTGACACAACACAATTCCTCCTGCTACACTTCTTCTATAGGATGACAATTTTGATCGTTTTACTAGGAAAACAAGCAAAAGAAACGTTTACGTCTCACCCGCACGTTTACATCCGCTCACACCACAAACATGTAGGCCGAACACGTCTGTTATGCAGAGCTACAGTGGCAACACGTTGTCGTTGGTTCTCTAGTCTTGGGTCTTTCATATGGATCCAAACCCTTAATAATGCTAATACTGGTCCCTGGCTTTCCTCTTTAACATATGCCTGTATATTCCCCACATCCGTTTAGGGATTTTAACATGTTAACGCTTCCTTTCTCCAAAATCTGCTTCTTCTCTGCAGCACACGGTTTGTTTACACTCGTAAGGTCATCAACATGTCTTCCACATCCCAGAATGCAACAAATAATCACGTGTGATCCCGAGCCTTGTAACGAATTTGCAACTTCGGACTGCCAGTCCAGTCTGTTGGACTTAGAAAAAAGTTGAGCTGACATACTTGGTGCAGCAGTCTGCTTCCAGCAAGTTTCCTTCATGTTATAGATCATGACCACAGCTGATTTGTTTGATTTACTTGTGAATCGCTACTGTCGATATTAATGAAGGCTGGGGAGACATTTCAACAGTTAGATTAAGGTGTTAAAAAAACAATCACACAGCGAGGAGCTAAGTTGTGCTTAGGGGTTCTACTAAAGGGACACTAGGAACGCTAAAAGCAAGCCATAACTGCCTAGTCTCCCCTTAAAACATTTAGTTAATTTAGTATTTTCTAAGTTTTTTTAGTTTTGCACAGTCCGTGTAAAAATGGTTCAGGATAGATTCCTCTGCATGTAGTACTAAAAACATTCCTCTGCATGTAGTACTAAAAACACGACAAAGGAATCTTGTTTCCTATGCTGTGATGTTTGAGTTACTGAGCTTTAAATCCAGCGGCGCTACGGTAGCAACAAAGAGAGCTGCAGGCACAATTTAGGAGCAGCACTTCATGATAAAGGAGACAAAGATTCCTTACTGAGAAAATAAAACAGACATGGTGGCCATGATGAGACTTGTTTTACTGAAGCTACACACACTCTGAACCTTCAGATCAGCAGGTTCTTTGCATTTGCATGTGGGTGTTTTTATGCTTTAGATGTAGAAAGTTTCTCTTGAATGGTTCCTGCTCTGGTTAGAAGTCAGCTCGTCTCCTTCAGGAAAATTCTCACCGGCTCTCTGAACTGCAGGGAAGATACTGGCCGACCACAACGACCCACACACAGCCCCACTTCTAATACTAAAAGTAATCCTTTAAAAAACATTTAAATTAAGAAACAACTAAACACTGTTGCTTTTTGTGAGAGAAGCTTCAGGCAGGGCGTAACACAACATCCTACACTGTTGGCACTCACTAGCGTCTCCCCCACATTACTCTTTACTATGATCGTTCAGATCTTCACTTAACTGTAAATGCCTCATGAAAAAAGGACAAAATCATCAGTTTGTCTGCAGATGGAAAATAAGCTGTTCACTACAATAATTATAGCATTTTGAGTCAAATATATTATAAGTAATGTTAGGTGAAGTACTAGTTATGGCTTGATATTACTTACTAACTGCAGAGGCTCTTCCAAAATCACTTCAGTCTATAGGACATTAAACACATTTCTGATGTCAACACTCCAGAAATATAAACTCAGTGGTTTCAGAACAAAACATGTTTAAATGGCTTCAACTTCTTCAATAATAGAACTAGTGAACTCAGCAAGCAAGTTACGATGTAGAACGCTTCATGAAAAGAATATGTGAACATATGTGTAATCAGCAGTTTGTGCTTTCCCTTCATGCATTAAGGACAGAGCTGCAGCCTGCTGGGGGAGATAAACAAGTCGAGAGAGAGAGAGAGAGAGAGAGAGAGAGAGAGAGAGAGAGGAGAGAGAGAGAGAGAGAGAGAGAGAGAGAGAGAGAGAGAGAGAGAGAGAGAGAGAGAGAGAGAGAGAGAGAGAGAGAGAGAGAGAGAGAGAGAGAGAGAGAGAGAGAGAGAGAGAGAGAGAGAGAGAGAGAGGAGAGAGAGAGAGAGAGGAGAGAGAGAGAGAGAGAGAGAGAGAGAGAGAGAGAGAGAGGAGAGAGAGAGAGAGAGAGAGATGAGAGAGAGAGAGAGAGAGAGAGAGAGAGAGAGAGAGAGAGTGAGAGTGTGTGTGTGTGTGTGTGTGTGTGTTGGCCAATATGTGTTTCACGCACCCGGCTGGCTCCTCATCAACTTATTTTTCCAATTTGGTCTCAACTGCACTTTTTTCTGCTCCTAATTATTGGATGAAAGAACAAAGTCAGAGACAAAATGTGTGTAAGTGCACTGCCTGGACAAAAAAAAGTCTCACCAAAAAAAAAAACCCAATAAAATTAAACAAAGGTCACTCTAGTAGTTTGTTGCCTTGAACTTTTGATTACGACATATCCGATGTGGCGTTGTTTCGATAAGCTTCTGCAGACGTCACAAGATTTATTCCATCCAGTGTTGCATTAATGTGTCACTAAAACCTTGTATTGATGATGGTAGAGCTGCACAAAGCCTTCTCCAGCACATCCCAATGATGTGGCTAAGGTCTGGACTCTGTGGTGGCCAATACATATGTAAAAATGATGCGTCATGCTCCCTGAACCACTTTCTCACTACTGGAGCCCATCGAATCCTGGCGTTGTCATTTTGGAATATGCCCGTGCCGTCAGGGAAGATGGAATAACCTGGCCATTCAGTATAATCAGGTAGTCAGCTGACCTCATTCTTGGAGCACATCCTGTTGAAGAACATAGACCTGAACAACTGCAGCAACCCCAGATCATAGCACTGCCCCCACAGGCTTGTACAGTAGGCACTCGGCATGATGCCTCTCTTCTTACCCTGATGCACCATCACTCTGGAACAGGGTCTATCTGGACTCATCAGTCTTTAATTACGTGTTTTCTGTAAAGTGACCTTGGGTGTCCTGAAAGGCGCTTTGAAATAAAATGTATTAATATTATTATTATTATTTAATAATGCTGTGGCGGAGCACACCTGAGGCCGATCACCAGGAGAAGAGTCTGATTGCCCTGAGACCTGGGACGAGCACTAGGAGTGTGTAGGTCAGACCAGGAGAGCCTAATACAGAGTTGAACCTGCAAGCTGTGTGGTCTGAGTGGTGTGGGTGAACCCAGTGTAGCTGGTGTATTGCTACAAATGCAATCTGCAATCTCCTTAGATGTTTTCTCTGACTGATGCATGCCGATGATCTGACCCTTCTCAAACAGACTAACATCTTTTCCACGACCACCAGATGTGTCTTTCCACATGGTTGTTTAAGAAATGAGAAGAAACTCATTGCACCAGTTGGGGTTAAATAACATGTTGTCAGCTGAAAGATAATCACCCATGCAGTACTTATCCAATAGGAAGCCCCAACCTATTTGCTTAGTTAAATCCAGGTGGCAACTTATTTTGGACAGGCAGTCCATATATATATATATATATATATATATATATATATATATATATATATATATATATATATATATATATATATGAAACTGCAAAATATCACACATTTTAAAAGCTCACTGTACCTCCAACTATACTCAAATCCCATTATATGCAATTTAAATAAATATGAAATGAGCTGAAACTGTTACGTGTGGACTAAAACCAAAAAGGGGACCAATCTTTTTTTCACAGCTCTGTTTTTGTTCAGGAACATAGAAAAATGTTCTTTTTACTGAACAGTTTGAAGACTTTTTATCCTGCAGCTTTAGTTTGCCGTCATGCTCCACTGATAAGAGCACCGGTCTTCCTATAGGAGGAACCTGGCCTGATCTAAATTCCTCATGGAATGAAGTAGAAAACTGTCTTGTTATTTAACTCTTCTACAAACTAAATAGATTCTCTTTTTACATTTTCCGTTTCAGATTATCACCTTTCCCGCAGACAGAGCAGCAATAGGGTCTCTCTCCAGTGTGCAGCCTCTCGTGGTACCTCAGGCTGTGGGGGTCCCTCAGAGACTTCCCACAGAAGCTGCAGAGAAATCCCCCTTTGGTGTGGGAGAACATGTGTCGCTGGAGATCAAGCTTCTGGGTGAAAGCCTGGCTGCACTCGAGGCAGGGAAACGGCCTCTCTCCTCTGTGAAGTCTCAAATGGTACTCTAGGTTCCCTGAGGCGGACAGACAGACCAAGACCAAACATGTTAGGGTGGAGGGGGAGGCGACAAAGAGAGGAGGACTCAAATGATTATGTATCAGTCCAATAATGTGAGAAAATTTGCCTTTAAACAAAAAAAAATTATGCTGCCAGTTTGACGGATGGCAGGCTGCAGTAATTGATCACAGCTGGAAGTTTTTTCTCAGATGAATTTTTCTTCTACGGCAAAAATTAACTCATCAATGCAACAGCAACGGGTTTACAGACAGAAACACAAACTTTAACGTGACAGGTTTTTGTTTCAGATGACTATTTATTTATTTTATCATATTAGTTAAGAATTTGATGGATTTAAATGTCCACACTTTTGTCAGTAATAGGATTATTATTACACACATATGCTCAAAATAATCATATTTCAAAAGCCTTTCATTCCTTGAATCAAAGCCTGTCACCCGCTGCCTTTCATGACACGTTTTCCACTCAGGTCATCTTATGGTGAAACGTGATGAAATGAAACCAATTGGGTCAAACTTTGAAAATGATTTTAGCAGTTTCCCAACATCTCATACAATGGGTTTGACACACGACCTGCAAGACATGGTTTACTGTTCAGATTGGATTAAAATGCTAAATGGTTTTTTTTTTTACTAGTGAAGATAGCAGTTTAGATCACATGACCTGTCTTAATGTATTAGGTGAATGTGTGTATTTATATATATGAATAAAACTAATTTTTAAATGTATTTTAACACAACTTAATATATATGGAGCTGAGCTATGATGACTTCTCCTCTACCTCCTCCACATAAAGTGACTGTCTTCCTTCAGTTTTGGGTCTTTTTCTTAAAATCAGATGAGTTGCTCCACACACCCGTGAAAATTAATAAAATCTTTATTTTCTGATACAAATGCACTAAGTAACAAGCTTTATGATCAATGAAAACAGTCAAAGTTAAACTTGTGTTTAGCTCTTTTTTTAAGCGTGTGCTATAGAATCACATCACAAAGAGGAAGAAAAGACAGTAAAACTGACAGCATTTGTTCTTTTCCTCAGTGACAACAAAATCATTAACAGTGTTTCTGCAGGAAATGAAGACTCCAGTGTCCGTATGTACGAATAAAGAGCTGTCAAAGAAGGGCGCTAAACACACACCACCCCCTTTAGGGGAGGTAACAATAAGAGAGAACAGATGTGAACTAAACACCAGACAGAGCCTCACAGAGGAGAGCAGCTGCCCTAAGCACAGTCTCCTCACTGCCACAAGCTCTTAAAGCTGCGTGCCACAGCAACATTCTGCAGGATGGAAGAATGTCGGACCAGAATGCATTGCTTCAAACCATCATGTATCATGTCAAGTCAGCGCTGCGTGGCGGTACATCAAGTCAACATCATTAAATGTCTGAGTCAGTCACTAAAGCAGGTGTCCTCGGGTAAGGAAACAAGGAGCGAACAAAGGAATAAGAAAACAAACAAATGAAACCATTAAGAATTTTAGATCAGTCTCTTTAAACAGTGACATTAGGCTTTAAGTCCAAAAAGTAAAGTACCGTCAGGTATTAGTTACAATCTACACCGAATGTTTTGCATTTTTAACAATAAACAACACATTTTATTTAAATTTAAAAACAACAAGTGAAAAACAGCAAAAAGGATTCAACTATGTGTTGGAAGTAAGTTCCTTTTAAATGTATGTGGCTCTCAGTGATGCCAGTAACGCGTTACAAAGTAACACGTTACTCTAATATAGTCATTTCTTGGTAATGACTAATCTACCGCGTTACTATTTCCACATTAGTAAACAAATTAAAGTTACTTGTTCAAGCCATTGTGAGTTATTTTGTCCTTTACTCTGAATTTTTTCTGCTTAAGAAAATCCTGAGCAACGGAAAACTAACACGGCAGGGGCAGAGCCAAGATCAGCCATGCATAATGCATTTACCCAATCAACGCGGACTTTCCACGTACATGGGAAGCAGTATACTGCTTTACCAAACAATAGAACGGTCTCGTATGCGACAGTTCACGGGATGTTTTTGTTCTCACCTACCAAGCAGCGCCAGCTAGGGACGTACTACAGTGTGAGCAACAATGGCGGGAGGAGAGAGAGGTGCATTTTCCAGCTGGAAATATATCGTCACTATTTTGAGTTTGGATTAGTTAAATATTAAGGTTCGTTGTACACTTTGCAGGGTTTCCCCCAGAAAATGAGTTAAGCCTGGCGGGTTCGGCCGTCGGGGGGGGGGGGGGGGGGGGGGGGGGGGGGACGCGCGCTGTGTCCTGCAGCGCTCCTCTATGAGAGCGGGGATGGGGGCGTTACACACATTCCGCTGCTGTTTCTCACCAGTATCAGCTGATGGAGGGCTCTAGTTTCGCTGCGCCGTTCGTGTCAGCGGACACAATAGGGTCTGGGAGGGGGGCGGGGCATGACGCTTAGCCTGGCGGGTGGACAAGCAAAGCCTGGCGGCCTGCCAGGCTTATAAAGCACTGGGGGAAACCCTGCTCTGTGCTGGCTCTGTGTATTTATTTTTTTTATGAATACTATTTATTTTAAGTGAGGTCAAGAAAGACAATTTTTTAATCTTATTTTTATACAAACATGCATTATGTCAGGCATCAGGTTTTAAGTTCAACTTAAAATGTAAGAAGATACTTTGTTGACATTACTGTTAAAAAACACTTGCAATAAAGTGAGTGTTGGCAAAACCAGTTGTAGTTTTTATGTTGAGGCAGTGGAGAGTGTTTTTGGTAAATGCTAAACGTAACAAATAAAGTAACTCGTAATCAAGGGCGTCAGTTTGTTTCCAGAATTGCTGGGGACAATAACCATACACTTGAGTGGGGTTTAAAAATTGCTGGGGACAATAAAGTAGGCTAGCACAGGGGTCGGCAATCCGCGGCTCTGGAGCCGCATGCGGCTCTTCCATCCATCTGATGCAACTCTCTGTGCTTGTAAAATAATAAATGGATATTTAAATAAAATGCTTTATATTTTACTGCATTAATTTTACACCTGTATGCCAATTCTAAATGTAAAGATTGTCTGCGTAAACCTGAACAGGTCCAACCCGGTCTGCGGTGGTTGACCGGTCACGCTTGTGCGTAATCATATAGGCACTTTATGAGCTGAAGACGATGTGAGATTCTGGGCTTCTCCTCAGACGGCTCCTGGATGTGTCGCCACATTGGAGCCAGGAACAAGCACTATTCAGCCAAAGTTTCATCATCAGGGAACATTTTCTAAGTGACAAGTCTCTCTGAGAGACAGGGTTTGGAAAACACTCGCTTCAGTGGGAGGAATCTTCCCGCATGCGCACTGCATGGTTCTCTGCGTGGCTCTGGGGTTAATCAAGTTTAATTGTTTCTCTTTGCAACAATCTTCACAGGAAGGCAAAACAGTTAAACGGCAGGTCACATATATTTCCATTTGACTGTTTATTTTGACAGATGTACTCAAGGATGTTGCTTGGTTTGAAAAAATTACCCCGACGCACACTGATGCGCATGGATGAGCTGACATTTTAATCGTTAACGCACACGCGGAGGTAAAATATTCCCATCAGAACATCAGAGCTCTTTATACTGGACACTGTGTTCAGCGCGGCTCGGAGCGCCCCCGGTGGACAGTGAGCTGAAGATCTGGGGTTCGCAGTGCAGCGCAGTGCAGAACCACGCGCATGCGATGATTTCCTCCCACTGAAGCGTTCTGGAAACCCGGTCTCTCTGAGGGATGTGTCACTTGGAAAATGTTCTTTTTATGAAATTATGAAACTTTGGCTGAACAGCGCTTGTTCCCGTCTTCCGCATGAAGCGTAGAGACATTTGATCACGCACAAAGTTTATGTGGAGCAGAAGCGGTCGGGCCACGGCAGGTGAAATGTTCCTAGCCTACATGAAGTGAAACTGTTTAATTGTAACATTAATATGTTACTGGACACGCTGGTCTGGTTGGTTAGACCAGTGTTTTAAGTGGAAAACACACACACACACACACACTCACTCACTCACTCACTCACTCACTCACTCACTCACTCACTCACTCACTCACTCACACACACACACACACACACACACACACACACACACACACACACACACACACACCAATTAAAATATAAAATAATGCTGATAGCGTGGACTAGAAGACAGGTGATGGTTTACGTATTTAAATGATGATCAGGCTGATGTAAAATGTAATCTCCATCCACATCCAGACACAATTATCCTCTAGTCTTTCTCTAGTCGCTCTGCTCTTGTCTGGGCTGATCAGCTGATGGTGCGCGCGCGCCTAACTAGCGGCTGATGCACATTTTACGCATTTGGAGAGGTGGACTGGATGCTGTGCGTTTACTGGAAGATGGTCCACTTAACGCACGGGTGTAGACTACATATTAATGACAAATGAATGAAAATTAAATTGTGAGTTTTTACTTCATATTTTAGTAATAAAAATGACGGGGGAACACATTTATGACATCTTTTTAAACGAAATTTTCTAGCGCGACCTGCCTGCTTCACTTAAGTCACTGCTTATTAAGGTCCGTCCAAAATTACCGTGGGAAACGGGTAATAATGGTTCTTTGATGGGAACAGGGTGCCGACCCCTGGATAAGATCTGAGCTGGTAAAACAAAAATCCTCATCAGCAGGCGTTTTTGAAAGTGGGGGGGACACAGCTGCCAATCACAAATTTTGCCGGGGACATGTCCCCGGCGTCCCCGGTTAAAATGACGCCTATGCTCGTAATCTAACTTAGTTACTTTTTAAATGAATGAATCAGTAAAGTAACTAAGTCACTTTTGGAAGGAGTAATCAGTAGTCAGTAATCAGATTACGATTTCAAGGTAACTGTGGCAACACTGGTGGCTCTTTATAAGGGATGTTGCGTTTGCAACACCAAAGTAAAGATAAGCTAAAAAGATCCCTGACTAATCTATCTCTGAGCAAATGCGACATCAGTCACCTGAAGTAAACCACCGCAGGACAGCAAGCAAGTTTATTTCACCTGAGTTCATAGAATCATAGTGTTCTTCCCTGGGTTGCCATGGCAACACCATCCCCTGGTGACCTGACTCAAATCTGCCAGTGGTACAGGCATGTTTTGTTAATCTTGTTTATGAGTGAGATAATAACAAACCTTGTAATAATAACATGAAAAGTAGAGTCAGGAGGTCAGCAAA